GAAACCCGGGTCGGCAGCTGCCGCAGCCGCGCTCTCCTGCGCAATCATTACCATCGCCATCGGGCTTGGTCCAGGCATATGACTCAAGGCACTGCCAACCATGTAGTCCGCGGCGGACAAGAACCACGATCCTGAGGAGCTGTGCCCCGACAGGTCTGTTCCTTCAGCGGCCGCGTTCATCGACTCGTCGGAAGAACCACTTGGTCCCACCAGACTAGGAACTGAGTCCACACTCGCCATCAGCTCAAGACTTGGAGCTCTAGGGACTAGGCTCTGAGTCCGAGGCACGACGTTCTGGGATACCGATGGTTGGGGCACCAGACTCTGGGACGACGATGTCGGAGGCATCAGGGAACTGGGCGGAGATCGCTCAGCTTCAAAGACCGCACGCTTGGGCGCTGGTTGTCCGGACACGCTTGAAGCAGGACTTCTTCTTCTGGTCCGCGTGATCCTCAAGCGGCGAAACAATTCTTCGCCAAGCAGTTCCACGGCGTCGTCCGTCATTAGGACGTCTCCATCGCCATCAGTCGGGGAACTTGTACTTCGCTCGGAGAGTCGCACAGCTGGGAGAGGCTCCAGCGGCTGTCGGATGTGAAACCCTACGCCATCCATCAGCTTGTTCCACTCAAGACTCGCAACTGCGAGTCTGAGTTGAACTTCTTCAACACCTCGGCGGATCAGATTCTCAGACACCTCGGACACCGCACGGACTTCACTCCACGTAGGAATCACATTGCGAAACTCGAAGCCGGCATCCATTAACATGGTCTGGAGCACAGCGACGTATGCAGCAGCCGGAAGCAACTTGGGCGATACGGTGACGGCCTTCATGTCCGAGACCAGCGGTTGCCGTCTGCGTTTGGCAGACAACGCCTTGATCCAAGACTCGGAAGTCCGACCAGCGTTCACAAGACCCAAGTATTTCCCAGTCTCGAATGCGGCGAAGACCCAAGCTTCCATGTCGTACTCTTCATCTCCCTCGTCGTAGACCACGTCGACTGGAGAGATGACTTCTCCTGGAAGAGAGCTCCAGCGGCTCTGTTGTTCGGCTCCATACGCTCGGGCTTCGTCGTCAGCAAGACAGTTTACGTCGGATCCTGGGATTTCACTCGTACCCCGTGGAATCAGCGGAAGCGGATCTTGGAACGTCGAGTGCAGCGTGGTTGGCAGTTCAGGTCCGAAGACACGAGTGCCAGGAGCAGGCCCAAGACGAAGTGGTGCACCGGAATCCGGGACCCTCGTCTCGCACCACTCTCGCAGCGCCACATGATCACTTTTCCAAGAGCGCTTGCAGCCGCAGGGCTCAGCGCCAACTCCGTCGGCAGACGGGCTGCTTGATCGTCGGAACCACGGTCTAGGGGCCGTCCAGGGCTGGACTGCACAGAACGGGGAACCATCACTTGAGAAGTTCGTCTTGGCGTCGAATGGGTCGATGTCGGGCGCGCTGGTTCGGCCAGCGCCAGTTGTTGTTCGGTCTCCGTCGATATCGCAGGATCTTGTCCGGGCCCCGGCGGCGGGACAGGGAGTTGCAGCGGTCTTGACACTCGTTGAGCACCTTGACCGCGTCCACGACCTCGTCCGCGTCCTCCAGGACTCGAAGCAGGCACAATCGCGTTAGCGTTAGTAGGCATAACTCTCACAATGCACATTCAACTTCCAACCCCTGATCCGGGCACGCGCACCAGCTGTGACGAGGCGATGCGGTGTTTTCTCCCAGAAAACAGTTATAGGCCCTCCTTGACAGACCTCAGGCTTCTAGAGCTTTGGATCCGTCTCGGCTGGCACAGGGTGTGTGTTGTCCAGTACACGCTGTTGGTCAGGCGCACGATGTGTATCCCTTGGGTAGCGATTCTTTTCACCAGGAGGTTAGTATCGACCCCGTGAATCAGACAGCTACGCCGGGCTAACGCTGGAACAATCCAGCCCGAATAGAGTTGTACACGTTATACAATCACACAAATACTTCTTTGCCCTCTCTTCTTTCTCTAGGCCCAAGGCTAAGGCCAAAATACAAGTCAACTGGTCCAAATCCAAGACACTTGATCAATCTTGGGAACACGCACCACCTCTCGGAGAGAGGAAACGATCTACCCTGTCGCCAACTTCTTCAGTTCGACACAGGCCCAATAGACCGCAAATATACAACAAAGACGGTCTGCAATCCGCCAAATATACAGATATGTAATAGATATGATCACGTCCAGGCCGAAGCAGTGGATCACTTACCTAAAGTGCTTTGAATTTTGTCGTGGAGAACGGCCTTCCAGGCTGTGAAAGAAGCACTTGTGCCCTTCGAAGCAAAACGAATTCTGTTTGGTTAAAGGTCACATGCAGACGAAATCTTTCCTAAGCGACCCTTCGGAGACTGCGATCTTTCTGCGGAGTGTTGGTCTGACCTTGAAGGGTCGCCAAACTGGATACCTTCTCGGGTTGTTGGGTACACCTAGGATCTTGGAAGATGCCATAGTGAAACCAAGTGTTCTTGGGTTTGGAGCCTCGGAACGCCTCAAGCCGAGGTCGTTCTTGGAATTTTGTGGGAGGTAAGTCTGGGAACGCGAAGTCTGGGAATCGTTATTCCGGGAAAACAACGTAGAATCTGAGAAGTGCCTCAGCTCCCAGGTTGTAAGCCAGAGTCGAGTTCCGCCGTACTTAGATATACTGGGGAGGATCGCTCGCATTCCGTTGCACTTCATGGAACGGGATCAACTCGCCCACATTGATCTATCTTCCGGGATTCAGCGTCCATTCGCAGACATTACCCTTGTTTTTATAGGAGACTCCAAATCATCCAGTATCACCAAGCTCCATATCATTGGGACTTCCCAGGGTCAGGTGCATTCACCCGAATTTAGGGATCGACACCGCGTCACACTTGATCTGCCGCGGCGCTGGCCCCACGTCCAACGGCACGGACGGGTCGGCCACCGACTTCGCCACGCGAGTCAATTCCTGTTGCACCGCAGCCAACTGGTTGGGCCCGAAGAGCGTCGACGCGCCCTCGTAGTGCTGCTTGTGATACTCCTCCTTGGGGGACAAGTACAGCGCGTAGGCGTTGCTGACTGAAGCGAGCTCGACCTCGGTCACTCCAACCCCCTCCAGCGCCGTCTTGACGGTGTCTCGGATGCATCTGCCTGCCATGGTCGTGACCTCGAAGTTGGTCATGGCGATAGCGAACTGGTCGATCTTGACGACCTGCACCGGCAGAATGTTGGGCACCCAAGGCACGGGCTCCATGAGGCCGACAGCCAACAGCGGCACCTTGATAGCGTTTTGGCAGTCCTCTATCCATTTCGGTGTCTTCTTGATGATGCTGCCGATGGTCTTGAACAGCTCGTTGGTCTTCTGGCTGCCCTCCGTGAACATGTTGTGTGCGCGTTCATCTTCGGTACCAGCGGCGAAAATTTGTCCCAAGACGGCGGGGCAAGTTTTGTCGGCGTAGGGGTTGTCTGGGGTGCTTTCACGCCGTCGAAAGTGACGTTGGAGAAGTCGATGTAGGAGAGTCTGGCGGCGACGGAGCCATTGATGAGCTCTGACTCGTTCTTAATGAGCATAGACAGCGTGTCATACTGCCGCTGAACCATGATCTCCGCAGACACGATTGCGGAATTGCCCTCGCCCTTGAAGGTGCCGTCTCCGTTGTCGATCCGGTTCGGACTCACGTCTCCGGCGTTGGCGATGCCGATACCCACGACGACGTTGTCCAGTTCGTCCTCGAGCAGGAACTCAGCGTATCCCTTGTTATCTCCACTGATCAATAGGTTAGATGCAGTGAGGCTGGTTGGGTGGACGGGGTAGAAGGCCAAGACACCTCGACGTTTACCCTCGCTGCTGGAAAAGTGCAGTGCACGCATGGTCGTGTCGATGTCGCTCGAGTACTTGGCTCGTTCCGACTCCGGATTGGCCATGTATGCATCAGGAGAGCGGTTCTTGCCGCCTTTCGTCACCTCGCCCTTGTTCCAGCGGATCGTGCCGCTCGCCACCGAGTTGTGCGCCTGGTCGATGGCGTCCAAGATGCCGCCCACGATCTTGTCGAAGTTCTCGCTGATGTACCCGAGGATGGACACGTCGTAGAGGAAGTAGCCGGCAGTGCCTCCCGGTCCAGCGTGCGTGTGCGTGGCGTGTAGAACGACGTTCTGCTCGGTGTAGACGCCGCTATACTTGGTGGCGAGTTGAGCGAGAAGTTCTTGGTGCACCAGCTGCATGACAGAGTGCAGGTCGCAGTGAACGAACATGACGCGGCTGCTGGTGACGGGGTCTTCGATGAAGTAGGCTCTGGCGTACAGCCGGTTAAGAATTCCTGCAGTGCTTTCCTTGAGATCCGAGAACCCCATCATGAGGACCTCCGCAGCAGGCCCGGTGATGTCGCTCTTGCCGATGCCAATGTTGGATTCAGCTCGAGCTCCCATAGAGAGCAGAGTCACCCAGGCGAGCATGGGCAACACGACTAGCGAGTTGAACCAGTGCATCTTCACGAGAACTCCAAGCCGCTTGGTGTCTAGTCTACTTGGAAAGGAGAAATGGGAAACTTGTCAGCTCTTTAGAAGAGCGCCGAGCTGTGTGGGCAAGGACATTTGAGACGGTTTAAAACGAAAAGATGCTTACGAACCTAAGTACGAATCGCGATTTAACCGCATCAATCGAAAGAGGCGTGTCTTGTGCTTCGTTTAAGCTATCGAATGCTTTGAAATGTTAAGAACTCCCGGAGTGACATCGGTCTAGAACAATTATCTCCATTTTCGGACCCCCTAAATTCACGATTTTATTTGGGGCGTGTGACCTCAATATTTTTTCAATTTTAACGTATTGTATATTATCGGAAAGCTCGCGCTAAAAGCAAGCGAATCAGAGTGTTTTTACGCTTTTTATGTGTGTTTTCACTTTCGAGATTTTGATCCCCGGTTATTTCCGAAAATGGATTGGTCAACTTCAATCACGATTATCTCGATAACTCCAAATGGCGCCTAAGCATCATTTCGTTTGAAACCGTCTCATTTGGGCAGAATCTACCCTGTTGCAGTGCCGCCACTATCGATGTAACGGTGTCGAGATGGAACTGAGCGTTGTCATCAGTGATGGCAAAGCCGATCACGCAGAGAACTTCCGGCTCTTAATGATGTGCCAATACTTGGTGAATATTAGTCGCTCTCCAAAGAGATAGCATCATCGGCGATGATTCATCGGAATAGGTTCACATGTAAACCAGCTTTTGCTCAAAGAGCGGGACCAGATTTGCAGACAAAACAACGCATAGTAAACAAATATGTTTAACCGTTGGGGAAATTCGTTCGGCCGCTGCCCACCCCGCCCCCAAGCAGCTTCCTCGTCGTTCCATTGCGCGTCTTCAAGCGCTGGAATTTAGCGTACATGTGTTGTTCTTTGCAATGATTTTGCCAACCATTTTAGACGCTAAATATGGCAAAGCCTGCTCCTAAATATGTGTGAAAAAAGATACACGACCTGCTAAAATTATGCATAAATCCACCTCCTCATATATATATCGGCTTGGGAGGGCCGGTCAGCAGCCATGCATTGGCCCAGTACACCACCGTCCATGATCCCCAGCACATCCACCCTCTTATGCATAATTGCCGTGTGTGTAGGTGCTTGTGGATAAAAACCGACAGAATTGCAGCTGCACAGCCACAATTGCACTTTTGAAAGTGCAATTGTGGCGCTTTTAGCGTAATTCTAGGCCTCCACCCGTTTATGCACCTCGATTTATCGTAAATCTAGCAGGTGGTCGCTATAAATACAGCAAATCTCGCCTCGTGTTGCCAAAATCATTGCAAAGCACAATACATGTATTCAGACGAAGCCAAGCAGCCGTCCGAACTTCGGACTCTGATTGGCACATCATACTGTTTGGGGCATAGCCCCCCGTATAATGAAATGTGCATAAAGACTTTTTACCCTTTTTACAGGTACTTTTTACTCCAATTTATGAACCCCTGTATTACAATTGAGAATGGGGTAGGGCAAATGAACTATCATAGCCTGTCCGAGGGCGATTTCGATCGAATTTTACGTCTTTTTAAGAACACACGAACTCATGTTGAACGGCGCCCAAACGCGACCCTTCAAATGTTACCTTGTTCGAAGGTGTAACAAGTTATTAAACTGAGGTCAACTTTTTATCGAGCCGGAGATCGCCCCGTTTGTATCAGCAAACAAACGATTGCGTTAATCGTTGAAGTTCAGGGAAAGAGTTGACGACCGACGATTTATGCACATGGACCGTGGAACCCTTTTCAAGGGGTGGCTGAACTCCGGTTAAATGTGGTAACGGAGGCAACTGACAGTGGAGCCCGCCGTAAAAAAACATATGAGAGGTCAGGCAGCTCCGTAAAAAGTCTCCGCTAACGTACGAAACAATGTACTGAAGAGTAGTTTGGATTAAGTTATTTTTAGATAACCTAATTCAAGGTATCGGTCAGTACACTGATAGATCCTTGGCAAAACTGGCATGGAGCAGTGAAGTCTAAATCCAAAGGCTATAGCTACGGCTAACTATTACGAACCACTCATGCGGAAGCAAGAAGGCAGCACTAAAATTAGTTGGCATATTAGTTGCTGCAATCGTTGACTGAAGAATTCTATAAATCGCTTGCTACACACAGTTCTGCAGCAGCGGAGGCAACCGAGTACGAAGATTGGCATGATACAGAAAGCGGTGACTAGGCCAGACGTGCCATACCATGACGGTGCCGACAGCGGCCGACACCTGCCGGCATTATCGAGCATTGGTTAAAATACTGAATTTCTACGATTGGTCTAAATGGCCATCTTAGCACTTCTCGCATTTTCATTTCTCTGGCATGGTGGCGGCGCCCCTGATCGAGTTCGCACGAAGGACGGCGAGATGACCAAGGGCACGAAGGACAACAGTCCTCCCCCGCTGGCACGTGCACCGCCATCTCACACACGGACGCGCGGTGCTCGTACCCGGCCACGGACGCGTCGGGCCAGTGATCGCACCCGCGCGGATGGCGCGCGTCATGGCGCTTGCCTCCAAGCCGAAGGCCCCGAAGCCTGCGACCACCAAGGGCACGGCGGAAGATAAAGGCGCCAAGTGCGTGGAGGTCAGCGGAGGGCAACAGCGAGGAGTGGGAGGAGGAGGCGAAGGAAGACGAGGAGAGAGGACGCCCGATAAGAAGCCTGCGCCTGGCGGCCACCCACTCGTCACGCTGCAGGCAGCAGCAGCAGCACGCGGAGCTGCAGAGCCAACCCAGAACCACGCCCCCGCAGCAGTAGCCGCCCTCGTCCCAGTACCGCCATTACAACCAGCAGCACCCGCAGCAGCAGCGCGGCGGCTGCGAGTTGTCGATCGCCGGGTGCGGCGGAGGGCACGCTCGCTGATGTCGAGCTTGGGGGGGACTCCTCCCGGAGGGGGTACTGCTGCTACTGGTGGCGCGATTGGTGCCGCCGCCGCTGCATGGTGGGATGGCGCTTTCTACAGGCGCGGCGTTGCTTAGTGCTGTAGTATATTGCACGAATAGTATGTATATAACAGTGAATATTTCTAATTCTTGTACCACTTTAAACTCTCAACTGCTGCGGAGTCACTTACATGTATTGACGGCGGTACCTTAGCGGCAGTGGCCATAGTGTCACCAACAATGCCTCACCCAAAGCAGCTTTCAACATGACACAATGCTGCTTCGGGAATAGCGTTGCCGAGAAACTCGGTTGACTTCGTAGAGCAAGAAAGCGCCACACAAAACGCTTCGAACAGGCAAACAGAAGCAATACAAAGTCAAAGTAAAGTGTCGGCACCGTGCAAAATATGTGTATGATCACCTAATTACTTAACTTCACTATAGGTGGATAACATATCTCGATAGCCCTGCATACATTATACGTCGGCAGGAGTGTCGGCGGCTCATACACCTACCCCTAACGTTGATGATTGGATAAAATACCATCTATCGCCCTTCTCATTCGATAATAATCGGTCATCGCCATTTGATTGGACCATGGTCACCATACAGTGGCTAAGTATAAAATCATATGTGTCGGCACCGTCACGATATTTATCCATATAGTGGAGACAATAGCCAGGATGTATGCTCTGTAGCTGTGAAGAAAGCATGGAGAATTCTCTTTTTACCCTGACAACCTTGATAAATAGACGAAGTATTGTCATTTGCACAGGATGTAAAACGTCGTTGCTCACCAAAATCGCATGTTATTTCCTGAGCAATTTAAAGTAGCAATGTGCAATTCTGACACCAACTTTTGGTCTTGCATGTTCACACGAACGCCAAACGTGTTATTGAAGGCATGCGACGCGACGTCTTTCCCCGACACATACCGGCTCAACCGGGCTTTCCGACTGAGTCGGAAAGCTCAAGGTGACTTGATCTGTACAAAGTTTTTTCGTGCAACGCGCAACTTTGTTTGTTGTACGTATTAATAAATCCTTGTTGTCAACGATAACTGCCAAGTTGATTCACATTTTTTTTACAGTTTCTTGAGTTCATTTTCGAGTCAACGCGACAAACAGCTAGCACATGGTTGATTCTCTTGATTGGCCGCGATCTACCATGCAATACTTGATGACACGATGCGCGCGCGAGCAGCACGGAGCAGGAGCATTACATGTCGGGGTCGTGCGCACAGCGCATAGCCAAGTGATAAAATAATTTGTTTGAAAAGCTTCCGCATCACCATCCGAACAATACCGTACGTATGGCGATGAATGCACTTTGAGCAACTTGGGCTTACGGCGCCGTGCACACGCTGCCAACCAACTTACACCTTTTCCAGAGCAAAAGCAAATCATCTCAATTGCATAAATACAAGTTCAAATTCATAGTCCAAGTGAACAAAATACTCTATTGATATTCGTTTATGTGGGTTAACTTATCTGCGCCAACCCAAACAAGGTGCAAACTATTATAGAGGCTATGTTTTGGTCTGTGAGGACAGTGTAGATTTAAATTGTGCGGCTTTTGATAAAATTTATCGAGACCGCGTCAAACAAAATGATGCTTACGAACCATTTGGAGTTTTCAAAATAATCGTGTTTGAAGTTGACCAACCAGATTTCGTACCTAACGGAACATCAAAATTTAAAGGTGAAAAACAATCATAGAAAGCGGAAAGCACTCTAATTCACTGGCTTTTAGCACGAGCTTTCTGATAATGTACAGCACAAAAAATTGGAGAAAATTGAGGTCACACGCCCCATTTAAAATCCTGGATTTCGGGGGTCCGAAAAAAAAGATATTTTTTCAGACCGGTGCCCCTCCTCGGGTTCTCAACATTTTCAAGTGCCCAATAGCTTAAAAGAACCACAAACCACGGTTGTTTCGATTTATGCGTTTAAATCGCGATTCGTACTTAGGTTCGTAAGTATTTGTTTTGTTTGCCGTCGTCTCAAATATAGAAGTGTGGCCAGCCGAAAATAATATAACATGACAATTGGCCGGTTTTCAACCTTTCAACCCCTGGTGTAGCTCTTTCAATAAATATGCGAAGTTGTGCAAAAATATGGAACTCCAAAGGTGGGCTCCGCAGGGGGCGAGGCCCCCTGCCCAGCGTCGTGGGTAATGAATTCCAGGGCATGAAGCATACGATACACAAAAATATATATTTACTATTGATGACCTCAGAAACACTTAGAAAACCGGTATGAAATCGCATTTTTAAAATGCTGAATGACCCTCCAATCACGCATACCGGTCGAGTCACTCGGGGGTCGACTCCCGAACTAAACACCTAGTTGTGAGTTTGTCCATTGTGAACTACTTGCTGGCTTCCATCATATCCTTGTCTGAGAGCAAGTGCATCTTCTCCGATGCTTGTTTTGCTTAGTATATGGTCATCCAGCCTGTCAACCCCTTAAGATCGATAAAATGACAGCGACGCCACTACATCCTTAAGCACCTAGATCGTTGAGAACCCGAGCAAACTTCTTATATCTGTGTCCAGCCTTCCTCCGCCCGACAGTGCTGCAATTTGGTGGCAGCATGCCACGTTGTATTGATGGTTGTATTGCACTAGATAAGCACGAGAAATAGTTCGCGCTCATACCACGGGTACAGTAACCTCGTCAGGGAATGTTTTGGCACTTGTTTGGGGGAGCCTACAGGAAGCTAGGACGTCCGTGGCTGTAGTAGTTCGCACCTTAATAATTAAAAATAACGCATACCAATTCAGTTACAAAATATACCGATTTGGTATTAAAATGGATTTCAAACAGATTCAGTCATTTCCCAAGAAAAATTACGTGATTTTGTCAATTTAGAGGCGGGCGAAAGGCGTTGCACGTCGTCGACTCCCCAGTGACCGCAACCACTGGACTTGGTTAAATATTGCCCGCACAGTTTAAACGCCTGCAGCGTGTCGTGCGGCGCGCGGCGGCTGCTTGGCGATGGAAATGCTGGGACGGAAATATAGCTGAGCTTAAGTCAGATTTTTCTAAGTCAACTACTTAAAATAGAATCAAGAATTGCCCACTACTGTGTGTGGAATACACACTGTCTGTGACGGGGCACACAGCACTTCTTAACAGAGGAAGCAGGAGTATACAAACTCCAAGTGAACAGCCGTTCACGTGTCCCTGGTCTGAAGGGGACGACTTGACTTGAAAAGCGGTAGATCTAAGACTGAATGTATTTATAGGTTGGTACAGATTTGGCCTGCATACAAATCCTAAGTTTCCTATAGTTTGTGTCATACAAAATGTATCTGTTGTCTCTGAGGCCACCCAGGGGAGTGACCGATGTAGCTATCCCGGAATAGTGACAGGGTCACTATTCCATGTAATCCCGTTACATCCTTCCCCACTTAGATTCGATCTTATCGACCAATCAGAGCGAGGTTACGCCGGCGACTCACATTTCACTCGCAAAGTCGAAATCCATCGACAACGGCGCGAGCTCTGGCGCCTCGGCTCCCGGGCCTCACAGAGCAACTGGCGTATCGCCGAGCAAGCCGCAGGGTCTCCACGTCGACCGGAAGCATGCCTCCAAAGCGCAGTGCGCGCAGTGCGAAAGCACCTCCGAAACCGCGCGCCGTAGGGCCGAAGACCAGGGCGGCCAAGGCCAAGGACGAGTCGTCCGCGCTGATCGAGGCCACGAAGGCGGCCGAGGAGGTGGTGCGCTCTCGTAGTAGCACGCCGGAGAGTGGCCGTCAGGCCGGGGCTCGGAGCAAGTCTCCTGACGCCGCGCAAGGCAAGGAGGAGAGCCCTCGGGGCCATAAAAGCCAGGCTCGCGACTGGGAAGCCGCCGTCTTTGACTGCACGATGGTCCAGTACTCGGGTGAGAGTTCACCCGACGACGAGAACGTCTCGGAGGGCAGCACGCACGCTGCCAAAGGCACGGAGCTGGCGGCAGGCGACATGACCGACGCCTCGGCCAACGCAAACGCCTCGTCAGGGAAGGAGGCGGAGGACGCCGAGTCCGGCTCAGACGACAGCAAGCAGTCGCACGACGAAGTCGCCATGGCCGACGCTGGGGTTGTGGCCGAGAAGTCGCCGAGCGACGCGGGCTCCAAGCCCAAGGAGGTGCTGGCATCCAAGCATCTGACGCTGCCACAAGGTCGTGAGCGTGCCCAAGCGTCGAAAGCGGCTGCCGCTGCGAAGGCCGCCGAGGCCAAGGCGAAGAAGCGTTCAGCTTCCAGGTCGCCTCGCGGCTCCAGCTCCAAGCTGTTCATCGACTCGGAGTCTGAGGACGAGGAGGGTGCCGTCCACGAGCCCAAGGAGCTCTCCAACAACCTCGACGAGCAGCAGCAGCAATACCACGCTGCTAGCTCGGGTGCGTATGCCAGGCAGCCGACTGCCACGACTGCCATCGAGTCTTCTTCAGGCGGGGATGCCACGTACCCGCAGGGCTACTTCCCGCCCGACCCTGGCACTGGTGCGCCAGCGCTGTTGGAGAAGCTCTCGGCTCCTCGTGGCCTTATCGGCGGGTACACCTCGAGGGGTTCCTATGAGCGTGCTCTTGTTGAGAAAGAGCCACTCTTTCTTGGCGACGTTGAAGTCACCCGGTGTGTGCTACTAGCACCACACAAGCTCACACTGAAGGAGTTCACCACGCTTCGCAAGAAGCCGGAGGACAAGGGTGGACTCCATCCTGTCTGGGGTTTCCACTGGGTCAAGCCGAATGACAACATGACCTGGAGCGAGGTGGAAGACCTCTTCTGGCGCTACGTCCAGCGCAAAGGGTATTCCGACCAAGAGTTCAAAGAACTCCGTGAGGATCACACTCTGTCCGCAATCCTGGACGTGCGCGAGCTCCGCTTCGAGT